TTTGATCATGAGTACTCAAACAAAGTTGGTTCATGTCTCCCCATAAGTAGCATGACTCCTCCAGGAATTGTATTGAATTATTTCTTATCATAGGCATCCTTTTGTAGCTGCAAAACATGGAAATTAACCTGGACTACAGAAGTAAATCTAGTCATGTCCTAAATACAGAATGTAAGAAAATAGGTAATTTAAAGGTCTCCAAAACCATAAATCGTAAAGGACACCACCAACAACACACAAAAGTCTTCACATTTTCACCAAGTTTTTCCTAAGTTTTCAAAAACCTGCACTTTCCTAAACAACCTAATATAGATCTATGCTTTGAATACCTGGCACAAAAGAATTTTGCTAATAAACAACTTTACTAGGCTCACAATAGCTGTATTTCAAAACAGACTTTGTGAAAAGACACTCAGTCAATCAATGTAAATGTACCAGTTCACTTCATGAAAAGATTCTGAACAATTATTGCTTGAGACTATAATCACTTACTGATGACACTTTGTTCTGCTTCAAATTAAGGATGCGCAGGGATCTCAGTTTCTTCCCCACCCACACAGGAATATGTTCAATCTCATTCCCTGCAAGGTTCAGCTTTTGTAGATTCTGCATATGTTCTATGCCTTCAATTTTACTGAAAATAAGAAAAACAACTTACCATGAAGCACAGCAAATTTAAAGTGTTACCGAGGCATTATGGGTAAACTACAGCCAAATCTGTCTCAATTATTATGCAAGAAGTTAGCAAAAACAGTTTTTTATTGTCATATACACACAATTCTAATTAAATTACACCAGGTTACTTCCATGTACTACATAAAGACAAAGATAACAATTTCACAGCAAGACTTGGTTGCTCCCTGTGGCATAACCTTTACTTTTACATCTCCTAATTTTAATATTAAAATTATTTTAATGTGTGGTAATTGCACTTTAACATGGAAATTTTGTTCCTTTACTCCTGAGAATGTTGCAGGACACAGATGAACACAAATAAAGATTATTCTTTTTTTTTCCATAGTATCATAGAATGATCGATATTGGAAAAGACCCTCAAGATCATCAAGTCCAGCCACCAATCCAGCACTACCAAGTACACCAGGTCTCTAAGCACCACATCTACATACATCTTTCCATAAAAAGGAAGAATCAGCTGTCAAGTGACAGTGTGCAGAACTGCACTATAGTGTTTTCATTAAAACAATGTATAACTAACAAGGAAAATATAAGAGGTTTTAGTTCACTTGGGCATTTATCTAAATACACGTGTTTTAAAAAATACAGTAGCATGTGCTATTTTTTCAGCAGGCAAAAACCTGCACTTTCCTAAACAACCTAATATAGATCTATGCTTTGAATACCTGGCACAAAAGAATTTTGCTAATAAACAACTTTACTAGGCTCACAATAGCTGTATTTCAAAACAGACTTTGTGAAAAGACACTCAGTCAATCAATGTAAATGTACCAGTTCACTTCATGAAAAGATTCTGAACAATTATTGCTTGAGACTATAATCACTTACTGATGACACTTTGTTCTGCTTCAAATTAAGGATGCGCAGGGATCTCAGTTTCTTCCCCACCCACACAGGAATATGTTCAATCTCATTCCCTGCAAGGTTCAGCTTTTGTAGATTCTGCATATGTTCTATGCCTTCAATTTTACTGAAAATAAGAAAAACAACTTACCATGAAGAACAGCAAATTTAAAGTGTTACCGAGGCATTATGGGTAAACTACAGCCAAATCTGTCTCAATTATTATGCAAGAAGTTAGCAAAAACAGTTTTTTATTGTCATATACACACAATTCTAATTAAATTACACCAGGTTACTTCCATGTACTACATAAAGACAAAGATAACAATTTCACAGCAAGACTTGGTTGCTCCCTGTGGCATAACCTTTACTTTTACATCTCCTAATTTTAATATTAAAATTATTTTAATGTGTGGTAATTGCACTTTAACATGGAAATTTTGTTCCTTTACTCCCTCCTGAGAAGCAGGACACAGATGAACACAAATAAAGATTATTCTTTTTTTTCCATAGTATCATAGAATGATCGATATTGGAAAAGACCCTCAAGATCATCAAGTCCAGCCACCAATCCAGCACTACCAAGTACACCAGGTCTCTAAGCACCACATCTACATACATCTTTCCATAAAAAGGAAGAATCAGCTGTCAAGTGACAGTGTGCAGAACTGCACTATAGTGTTTTCATTAAAACAATGTATAACTAACAAGGAAAATATAAGAGGTTTTAGTTCACTTGGGCATTTATCTAAATACACGTGTTTTAAAAAATACAGTAGCATGTGCTTTCTTTTCAGCAAGCTGAAGTCTAAAAAGATAGAGCAGTAACTAAAAGCTACTCTGACCTTTCCAATTCGTGTTGAAAGAGGAAGTTGTGGGAATTCAAGTGTAGAAATGCTAGTGTCTTGCTTACTTCCTGTTGTTAACTTCTCTACTGCAATTGCAGTAGCTCTACTGCAAAGTCAGTCTCATGTAAAGATTGTAATTCATTAAAAAAAAAAATTCAAGGAAACAGAGATTTTATTTTTTTTTATATTGCATGAACCATTCACCTTCAACATTTTTATACTGCTCAGAAAAGATACCAGCCTCTCAAAAACAGTGGAAGAGAAAATGCAATTTCCTGGGTTTATGGCCTGCCTGATCAAGCCCATTCATCTTCCTCTTCTGAAAGAAAACTTCTTGTGCTACCTGTGCAGTAAAAATTTAATTGGTTTTTAATGCATTTAATTAGGTTGCTATACTCTTCTCATTATGGTATCTGGAAGCTTGCATTTCTGGCTTGGTTTCCTAGGAAAACAAGTTTAACTGCAGCCATGGTACCCTAATAGCACCTCCAAGAAACATTTATCCTTCCAATACTCAAGAGCTTGTGCTTTTTAAGAAGATCTCACCAGAGTCTGTTAGTCTAAAGATACACTGATGGGAATTTCACCTTAACTGTTCACACCTATGAAAGAACTCACCAGAACAGTAAGAGAGTGTCAGCTTTATTGTATCTGGGATTACCAAAACCATGAAGTGTTTCTGCTTACCTGATTTTATTGCAAGACAAATTGAGTTCACGCAGCTTCACCAGTTTATCCAACTTCTCAATCTTCTCTATTTGGTTGTTACTAAGGTTTAGTGTCTCTAGTCTAGAGCACTTTTCCAAGTTTTCTATGTACTATAGAACAAAAAATTAATCCATTAGCATTGCAGCTTTATTAATTTTTACTTTTTTTAACAGTAAGGCGTGTTTCTATTTTTAACAACCACCTATTCATTTAAAACTACAAAGTATTCTAACATTTTATTAATCACAGTTTCACTGTTGCATTCTAAAACCCTGCTTTGGGTGCAATCTTCTATAGTATTGGATCAGAAAAACTAGATTATAAGTTTACAGTGAACCAGTCCTATCTACACAAAAGAGAAAAAAAACAAACCCCAAACCATAAAAACCCAGCACAACCCAAAAGTAAGAAAAATTTAAAAATTACACAACTGGATCGATTTTACTAAAAAATAAATAAAAATTAAATTTTTACTTTAATTACCAGTTATTTTCAATATCTCACCTTAAATTTCTTGTCCCCATCTCTTGGGGAAGAAAGATTCAGTGAGCTGATCCATGCCAAATTTTCCTGTTTTGACAGACCTTTGATAAGGGCTTCAGTAATGTACCTCACTCCTGGACTGACACCGTTTTCATCTGAAATGAAAGAGAAACTACCTTCAACAGTGAAAGAATTGGCAACTTTTGTATTAGTCTCTTATGTCACACTGAATACAGCAAAAACATTGAAAATTCTCCCCCCTCCCACCCACAGGGGATGAGAAGAAAGAGCCCACCAGCAGCATTTAGAGGAAATGACCTGTTGGAGTGAGCAGGTACGGCCTTCTGGAAAAGGCACAGGATGACCTCCCTGTGCCAGTCCTCCCACCAGCATGGAGTGCAAGGAATACAAGTCTCACTATTCCACACTGCTTTCATTACTAGTATTTCCACCTTTGAGCCCAGAAGATGAAAACAAATTTTTCAGGGTTCTTTCCAACTGATCACAAACCCTTCCTCTTGCAGCCCCCAGAACACTGGCTTTTTATGCTCTTCTCTGTACTTTCATAGGAGCAGTTATTTATACAATACCTTTATGAAACTTATCCTCAAAAGCAGCTTCTACATTTTCCACAGTATTATCAAGTTGTTGGTGTTTCTGGTCTGTGCTCTTGCAAGGAGATGGAGATGTCTGTTGGCTAAAAGGAGATGGAGATCTGGTACTTGAGCTGGCAGGAGACATTGGACTTGGTGTTCGAGAAGGTGTTTTCCTATATAATGCTTTTTTTACAGAGCCTTTCTTCATTGCCAAAAGGTCAGAATATCATATGACCAATATCTGGAAGAACAGAAATAAACATCAGTCTGTACACAAGTCTAAATCTTAATGGCTTGCATGCTAATGAAATTGTCTTTTTAGCATAAGAAAGTATTTCCAGCAATGATATGGTGCCAAAAAAGCACATTTAAACAAATTTGCCAATAGGTGACAGCTTCCAGTTTTCATGGGCTAACACATCTTTGGAGGAAAGGTACACCTGTTTAGTCACACCATTCTACTGCACAACACCAGAAGTTATGTGAGCTGCTTTCTGTTTTGTAACTCGACTTGGTAAATGTCCTGGAATTTATGGTTCACAAAGTCTGTCAAGTCTGGAGAGACTCTCAGCTCAGGCTAACACAGTTGGCAGAGGACAGAGATAGAGAGGAGAGTTGTTAATACCAAAGCTAGAAATCACCCACTTTGCAGCTAGAAGAGCAGACACAAGAAAAATAAAAGGAAAAAAATAAGCAACAGAGAAAAAAAAATAATTAAAATGTGTAGCTCTGCCATTCCTTCAGCGTTGCCCTTTCTGCTCACAAGTTATTCCTTGACTGCCTGGGAAATCCCCAGAACGTTCCCAGCACCTTCTGCCAGCGAGGGATGCGTTTCTCTGGAAGTGGAGCAGGAATCAGGCACAGGGTGAGCGGGAAAGCCCTTGGGGGAATATCTTCAAGGGACTGATTTGTACTAAAATCTAGACCCAGGAAACAAAAGGCACATTTAAAGACATTCTGTAAGACAGAAATTAATGCTTTTAAGGGAACTTGGAGCTAAATGAGTGATTGTGTCTCCAGCAGATTTGTTTCATCAAAACTGATTTTTTTTTTTTCCTGGCTGTTTCAGAAGAAGGA